ATCTTTATACTGAAAAACAAGGGTCATGTAGAAAGCATATACATTAATTAAAAATCCCAATGAAGCTTTATGAAACAGAATGTATGAAAAAAACATTAATCTGACCACTCAATATTTGATAACTACAGCCAACCATAATAATTTGCATTTGTTTGAAATAAAAAGTAATTAGAAATGGGTTCTTAAGAGGGAAGATCAAAGGAATTGGAGTTCCCTGGTCTATGAAAATCTAAGAATTATTAAATTCTGATAGGTTGCTTCCCTTCTCTTCCGACAGGTAAATGAGAGGAAAGCAGTTAAATTAAGGAAAAGTAAGAACATTTTGGCTATCAGGGCTTATAACACACCAGGATGGAACAATGTGATGTTCCAACATTGTATAGCTACTAAGGCACACTAAATAGCATTAAAACTCCATGAATAAGTTATTTATAATCTCACTCTACAAAACTATCAAATAGCCTAACTTTGGATAGGGTTCTACAATTTAAAAGGCATTTTCACATATTCTGGTATCTCATTTTATTCTCACAAGAGGTCTATGAATAGGGCAGACATTCTGATTCCCATTTACAGGTAAGGAAAATAGTTATGACTGTCTCTTAATTTTTTCCACTACACCATACTATTTTAAACTTCTTGTGAGAAAGACCTTTACACAGCTCACCAGACAGCTGGGTGCAAAAGCTTCAAATGTATTTGAAAGACAGGAAAGATCTGTCTTTGTGTGCTCTGACTTGATCTTACATAAAGTATCTATTTATAGTCAGTTATTCTTTAAGACCAGCCTTACTAAATAAGTACCCTTGGCTTGAAAATATTCCTACAAACACAAAGGCAGAACGAATGAACAAAAAGGACTGATTTTGCTGGGTCCATTTTCTTAGATCATACAGCCATATTTCAAATCAAAGAGAATATGGAGCTTCTGTTTCCTATTAGCATTCTAGTTTTTTCTGAATTCACTAAATTTAAGTGAATATTGTGGTAGCCAACTTCCAAGATGGCCTCAGTGATCCCAGCTTCCTGGTATTCACACTTGTGTGTATGAATATATCCTCCCCATCCCTGTTGCGTTTGGACTAGACTTAGTGACTCTTCTCTAATGAACAGAATGAAACACAAGTGATTGAAGAATAGGTCATAAAAAGCAGGGTGACTTCATTCTTTTTCTGTCTGTGGAGCAGCACACATGACTAGGAACTGAAGCCACCTACCAATAGTCACGTGAGTGAGTTTGGAAATGGATCCTTCAGCTCCAGTCAAGTCTTCAGAGACTGCACAGCCCCAGCCCTGAGCCAGAACCATCCAGCCAAGCCACTCCCAGATTCCTGTAAAAGGGCACGAAGGAACTTTTGGGGGTGACTGAAACACTATCTTGATTATGGGTGGTATTTACAAGGCTGTATACATTTATTAAAACTCAAATTATACACTTAAAATGGATGCATTTTATTGTATGTAAACTGTATTTCAATAAAGTTGATTATTTTCAAAAGGCCACTGAATTCTTGAGAAAAGAAGACAAAGGGTCACTTACGAAAAAGCAGTGCTCTAACTTGAGAAGTTAAGGGTGTGTGGTTAGAAAACAGAAGCTGCAGTAACAAGCTACCACCATAACTCACATGTCCTAAACTGCTCCTCAAAATTGTTCCACCCACAGCCTTTCCCATCTCAAATGACAGCAAGCCCATACTCTCAGCTGCTCTAGCCAGAAAAGCTGGAGTCATTCTTGACTCATACCCCACATCCAATCCATAAGCAAATCCTGTTGGCTGTATCTCAAAATACACTCAGACAATGATCACTTCTTACCACCTTCACTGCTACTAACCTAGTCTCTCACCAAGACTACAGCAATAGCCAAACTGGTCTGCTTCACTCTAGCCCTCTACAACCTATTATTAACCCAAAAGCTAGAGTGATCCTTTCAAAAGCTAAGGCAGACGATCTGCTTGAAAACCTGAAACTACTACCCATTTCACTCAAAATAAAAGTCCATGTCATTACAACCACCTTCCATGGTCACATAAACTGGGCTCCTTGTTAATTCTGCCCCAATCTCACCTCCTATTACTCTCTTCCTTGCTCAGTCTACTCTAGCCACACTAGCCTGCTTGCTGTTTTATCAAACACACAGTGCATGCTTCCACTCTAGGACCTTTACCATCATTGTCTACCCTTTCTGCAACATCTTTCTCCCGTACCTGCAGGGCTCATCATCCCCTAATTTCCTTCAGGTCTCTGCTCTAATGTGACCTTTTTCACCCAGACTATCCTATTCAAAATTGCAACATTCCCACTCATTAATCATGCTTTTTCTGCTCGACTTTTTTTTTTCCAGAGCACTTGCCACTTTGTAATATGACATAATTTTATTATGTATATTGTCTACTCCTCCACTCCTTCCATAAAACAACCTCAAGGGTGGGATCTTTGTTTTGTTTACTGATTTATCTCAAGTGCCTAGGACAATACGCCATACATATAACAGTACTGAACAAACACATTTTGTATGAAATGAATTTTTGGATAATGTATCAGGTATGGGGCTAAGCATTTTACATACACTATTTCATTTAATCACTAGGGCAACCCTGGGATATCTTAACCTCACTTTACAATTGAGGACCACAGAAGTTAAATAACTTGCTTAAAATTACATAGCAGTAAATGAAGCCAGGACTTAATTCAATTATACTTAATTTCAAAGCCTTAACCACTAGTTTTCTCAGAGCTGGGTGTGAATGGGAAGAGAACTAAGCTGTTTCAGGAGGTAACTAGGTTGAGAATATATGGAAGAAAACCCTGAATTTTGATCCAATATAAGGAGCAGAGGGAGATTATAATATAGTTAAATTTGGGGAGATTCCTTCAGTTTTCCTTTGTTTTTACTCCTAGTCCTATGGGGACAGAAATAAAAGCTGATGGTTATCAGAAAGGACCATAAAAAAGAAAGAAGAGAAATAAAAGACCCCATAGTACCTTTTCTCTAAATTCAGTGGCATACTTCATACCAGTAGCATGGAACAATATACTAGCAGGGTTTTTGTTTTTTTTAAACCTTAAAATGCTTTTCTAGATCCTACTGGTGTAGTAAAATTGTATTTGAGAAATACATGGCCTATACATAAACATTTACAGATTTAAATCTGAGGGAAAGATACTGACTTCTGTCAATGTTACCATTCTTGGAACACAGTCACACTCATTTATTTACATTTTGTCTATGGCTCTTTTCACATTCTAACAGCAAGGTTGAATAGTTGTAACAGAGACCATATGCCTACAAAATAGAAAACACCTAATATTGGCCCTTTACGGAAAAAAGTCTGAAACAAATATTAATAAAATGTAAGTTTCTTGACAGTTTGCATCAGTTCTATCACTTTCAGTGATATATTTGAAAACATATCCTCTAAATATTAGAATAAGCTAACATTTTTGTTATAGTTGGTCACATAACTGAAAACGTCTTAATGGCTTAAGTCCAAAAATAATGTGGTCTTCAATCTAGTAAACAGACACATAATTAAATTAATTCAAGCAAACATACTTTCTAGTATAGTTAACACCTACTTACTAGTTATTAAATATTGGAAGACTTCAGTAACATTGAGATGTCAATTTTGAAGTCTTAAAATTGAGTTTAGCACTAAGGTTGAGAGGAAAGGAATTTTTGGTTTTGTCTGTAATACCTGAGGTACCATGTTAAACAAACATTAAGGAAGTGTTCTGAACAAGGAAAAAAATATAACTTCTTCATTTAGACACATACATGCACCATTCAAAAAACCAATAACGTTACAATGACTTCTCAACTTCTCCCTTAAATCCATGAATTACAAAATAGTAAAATTTGGAACATTTAATCTTCCAAGCAAACAAGCTAATTAAATAGGAAAGCAACTTATTTATTATTATTCATTTTTAAAATTCTGTAATCTATTTTCCCTCTCTGTTCCCAAAGATTAGTTGGTTTGTCAGCCACAAAAGATCACATCTTACTTCATACAACGATTAAAGAAAAAAAACTCTTCAGTGTATATATATGTATATATATATATACAACACCAGAAATCCTCAGGCTAATACAAAAATCTTTCTAAGTTCCTCAAAGGACTATTTAGATGTTTCGTATGTTTTGCAAAAAGTGATAGGCTATGCTATTCATAATGACACTTAAGAAGTAATTTAGCAAGCTGATAAAAATGGGTATGGAAACTAACTGCAAAGGAAACAGGAGAACTACTAAGTATAAAATGAGGTCAAAATGCTTCTTTAAATATTTTATTTTTCAAGAAAAGTCAACTTCTACATTAAAAGATGAACCAATCCAGAATATTATTCACTAAAATTTCACCTCAATCATGTAACACATTTAACTTAGATTTTTAATAGGGCTCTTGGCTTAAATATTTCCACCTACATTTTTCACATCTTCAACCTATACTTCCAACATAAAAATTTTAAGGCATCTGTTTGTTTTCCCAGAAGCTTCCTCAAAACAAAACAATTATTTCCAAGTTAAAGTTTTCAAATTGCTCTTATCAAAATTCAAGTTGCTATAGTAACAGAAGTAGTTACCTATGAGCTATTTCTAAATATTATTCAATTTTAATAGAGCCTCTTTTCATATTTCTCTCAATTTCATTTTTTTTACAGCACTGAAACACATGTGTTAGTAAAACAAAACATTTCTTGTCAACACTTTTAAAGGAATTAAGTTTTGAATATTATATGTAAGAAAGCATACTGCTATATTCTAAGGGCTAGAACTTTCTATGGTGACTGTTATATACACGAAATAAGCAATGGAATGAAATAAAAAAATTGGGATAGTGATTTTTAACAACTGTATTACATCCTTATAATCTGAAAAAAAATTCTGACATATGACTGTATAAGCAGACCTGTAATTTTGTTATTCAACTGTAAATTATCAGACAATCTCTAATGAAACAACACAGTATTTCAGATTGCAAAGAAATGTTTCCTACCTTGCCTGCTTCTCTTTCTAAGTCGACATATTCCCGGCTAGGTGTTTGTCGCTGTTCTCCCTGCCAACTGGCCGGAAAAAACTGGAGAGACAGATTGGTTCCTGTGGCCACAAAAGCCTTTTAGAAAAATCAATACAAACAGGATCAGGAGCAGGACATTACATAAATTATGCAGGCAGTCATTTATTTTTACATCAGTTTCTGTCTTAGGCCAGGCAGCACCAAGAGAATACTTAAAAGTAAAAAACATGCACTCATCATTTTTCTTAAGTATTAAGTTACAAACATCTGATTCCATTTTGAGGACATTTGCCATTGGCTGCTTAAATATAAAATCAGAGACAGAATCAATACTTTCTTTCAGGTCATTTTTTGCTGACGTTAGGATCACACATTGCTAATGTCTAACCAGAAGCCACCATCTCTGAATTTAAAAACTTGTATTTTTAAATTGAAGATCTAAACATTTTGAATTTTAAAGCATACCACAATTTAAAGTTGTATATATGAAACATTTTAATTTTTCTTGATATCCCTTGCTCAAGGAAACAGTATGGTCTAAAGCCCATGTAAAAACTGCATGGTACTGTCTCTCTTCTAATAAGTCATACACATTAGCATGTAACAGCACTTCTCATTTAAAACAAAAGGGTAATTTAAAAATGCACGCACTTTCTAAAATTTGACTTTAGGAGAACTGGATCTGATGTTAATAAAAGAGTATTCATCTAATATTTTAAAAAGATTTGGACAGCACAGCTCAACAGACAGAACAATCTAAAATCATTTCAATAAAATGTCATTCTGTGTAACTCCTGAGCAATTTGGCTGTATTTTCCCCAATTGAAAAAATAATAACCCTGTCCCCGTTCCTAAAGGAAATTTAGATATATATAAGTAAAAAAGCATTTTGAAAAAAAAATACATTTCATCATCTAAATGTAAACTCTTTGTTGAAATGAAAGAATTTTTTGTTTGTCTTTTTTTACTAATTAAAGTTCTAAAGCATAACTTGTTTCTAAGCACAAGTGTCTTCATCTGAAAGCAAGGGGTTCACATTTTGGGCAATTTGTTTAAAGTCATTAGCCGATTCAGCTATCCATTTAGTTCCACTGATGACTAACAGCTCAGGTTCTTTAGAGGTAAAAATTATATTTCCTATCTCTATTATTGGTACTATAGGCACAACTGTCAACCTAACTGCTAAACCTCTACAGACATCTTCATGGCATTTCCCTCATCATCTGGGATAATCTATCTGAAGGCAAATATTTTATTTGAGTAGAGACTGAATAAATGTCAACATTACAGTATTAACCTTAAAAAGAAATCTTCCCCACTATTAGCATGGTTTAAAAGATGATTAGATTAAGTGAAATGAATCAACAATAGTTCAAATGAAAAACAGACTCCAGGAGGTGAACTGCCTAGGCTGCACGATTTGAAGCTACTCACTCATCTCTGCACCTCAGTTTCCTCACAAATTAACATTTGTAAAGTGCTTAGAATGATACCAAGTAAACACTACCTAAGTATTTGCTAAATAAAACATAAATAATTTTGAGCTGGGTAAGACAGCTAACTTTTTCAGTCTCAGATTATGAAATTCTCAGAGCAGAGAGGTGACTCAGCCCATGAATGAATGCCCTATGTCAAAATCTCCCAGCCACGTTTCTTCAGTATTCATGTACTAAAAAATTCTTCTGTCCCTGTGCACCCCAAATCATCTCTGCTCTAAGACAGTCTACAGATCTTATTCCCTCATCTCCTGTCTGAAAACCAACCTCAGAAGAGATTTCCTGCTTCATCACTTTATGCCCATTATCTCAAGATCCCTCTCTCTGAGACAGGAGACATGGTAAAAACAGATCATTCTAGAATAGCATGTCACAAATTTGACCACAGAACTCTTTTTTTAGTGGAATATGAACACATACATAACAGTTGGGAAAATTCTGCTCAAAAACATAAAAATGCTACATTGGTATCATTGTCTACATGTAAGATTTCCAGGTTGTCCCAACTATATTTTAAAGGCTCCACAAATTCTAAAATAGCACACCTTGTACCAATCCAATATACCTTTTATCCTTCCGTCTTCAGGATTAAAAACATAGTTTTTACTGCTCTCCTAGGAGAGTCACCATACCTGTCATAAGTATTTTTTTCTTTTATTAATCATTAGTGCTGAAGACATCTCCAACACTCTTATTACAGTAAGAATTTATATGAGGAATAAATCAGATTTTACCAAGTATAGGCTTTTACCCATAATCACTTTTATCCATGCTATGGTAAGTTTTATAGTTAAGATGAGCATCATAGCCCTTAAATTGTTTCACATCTAAATGAAAATTAAATTCCTCATTAACCTCATCAATACATTAAGGAAATGTTCAAAAAATATAAGAAAAAGGGGCAGGGGAGAAAGGTGAAGAATAGTTTTCCAAATGGAAACTATGTACCTTTTTACTGTATAGCTGCTGTCAAAAGAGGCAAAATAATGCCTTTGCCACACCTATTTTCCACAACCAAATAAGTAAAACCCACAGCCTGTTCACATGTCAAAAGATAAATACCAGGCATTAAATTAAGTAACCTCTAAATTCAACTAACCAAGTACCTGTGATGCAAGAGGCTTTGGGCAAAGTACCTGTGTTGAGTGGGGTGCATTAATGAATACACCACAGAATTAATGTGATCTCCACCCCCTAGAAGCTAAGATTATTTAAATGTGGAGAACCCCGAATTAAAGGGGGGAAACTAGAGAGGGAAATGTGAAATTCCTTCCCAAATACAAATAGTTACATTATTCAACAAATTAAAATACGATACTATCTTAAGTGAAAATAGTTATGCTATTTAACAAATTAAGACACGTATACTATCTTAAGTGTATATCTTACATAGAATTCAATCTATCTTCTAACTTTTAATACTTGTCAGATATTAAGAACTTAACTAAAATTTGTAGGATCAGGTATTTGAAAGAGGGGCAAGCCTAGAATATCTGATTTATCCCTGGAAAGAAACTTATGACTAATAAAGCAACCTGTAATACTGCTATAATGTTACAGCAATATATCTAATACAGCAACTCAGATAACCAAGGGTTAAATTATACTCCCAACTCATATTTTATGCAGTAAAATCAGATATGACAGAAAACACCCTAGTAGCTATGCTGCACTAGGTTTCAAAAGAAACCCTCAGCTTTAAAAAATCGTGACACTAGTTTGTATCTCATCTCTTACACTTAACATCGATTATCTCCAGGAAGCCATTAGTTAGCTAAACCACCCACCTTTTCCAAAAGGAACCCCAGGCAAAGGATAATATACAATCACTGGACTAATGAATGATTCTTCTACCATGCAGTGTCAAAACCAAAAAGTATTTGTCTTATACTGTACATTTTAATTGTTACTATTACAACTACTCAAGAAACTTGGAAGTGGGCTAAAAGTTGGAGATTTTCTTTCATAACATGCAATAATGCCCAAATATTCTAAAGTGTCTAATAAATTTAACCAGTATCTGCTTATTATCTATTATACAATTCTAAGACTTCATTTAAAGCATCAAAATGTTCTTTAAAAATAAATTTGATTTCAATGATGAAAAGGATTTTATGGTATGTTAATTATACCTCAATACAAACAGATTCTCCATAAAGGAGAGAACTTAATGTTCCAATATGTCTTCCTATTAATAACCCAAATACAAAGGCTTCAGGTCTCTGCAAATGTAATGGGCCTAGGCCTGGAACAGACAATTTGATTCCATGGTACAGTACTTCAGCTTTTTCTCTTTTCTTTTTTTAAAATAATCAATCCTTTAGTTTCTTACTTCCCACTCCTTAGCTTCTTCATTCCTTCCTAATTAGCGCCTCCAAAAGGACAAACCAAAAAGGGGATGAGGGGAACTACACACTTGGATTTTTTTTTTTCCCCCAATATAAGGTTTGGTAGAGGCCAAGCACCAAGTCTACCACCTAAAACAAGGCCTCCATAACAAGATTTCGCAAATCCATGCAATTCTTCAGGAACTGCAGGAAGGTTTGGTAGAGGCCAAGCACCAAGTCTACCACCTAAAACAAGGCCTCCATAACAAGATTTCGCAAATCCATGCAATTCTTCAGGAACTGCAGGACTAAATGGGGTGTATTTTTTAGGTTTGGAAAAAACGATGGTTTCTTTCTGATTCGCTTAACAATCTAAGAAAAGATGGCACGTTCTTTGGGGCCTTTTTTTTTTTTCTCTAGTAGGGCAATAGATAACTGGTGTAAAGATTTACTCTCTGCTACACTGGAACTGAGATAACTACACGTATCGATTTACCAACAAACCTAGCGTCTAAGAAACAAACTATCACCCAGGAGTCAGATCCTTGAATGAAGCCCAACTCCTTTTCCGAATGGGTGTTTTCTCCTTTACAAGCACCCCGACCCCTAATAATCAGTCACACAGCCTATACGAAGACCTTTCCTCGATTAGTTGGGCTCCGGTGTAAATTCCGCTCGCGGCAAACTGCTTGCCGAGTCGCGCCTGGGAAACATAACCCACCCGCAGAGGGCCACAGGGAAGCTTCTCCCCGCGAGGACGAGGCCCGCCAGTGTCTGGTTTCGCATTTTGAATCCCGAGTAGGAAGTGAGACGGCGCCCGCTCAGTTCCGGGCGCCGCGGCGCCGTCCGGAACCGGCCTGGGCCCCGGCGGCCCACGCGCAACAAGTGACCCGAGCGCGCCTCGGTGCCCCGCGTCCCGGGCCCCTGCCCCGCCGACTTACGATTTCCGAGCGGCCGTCGCGGCAGGCGTTCTGGAAGCGCGCCTGGCGCTCCTCGTGGGGCCGGTCCCTGAAGCCCGTGTACTTAATCTGAAAGGCAGAGACGGCCCAAAATCAGGAGCCAAATCCGCGACGCCGCCCGCGCGCCCGCCGTCCCACCCCGCGCCGATAAGGACAAGCAGAGTCTGTGGGCAGATGGCTGCCCGGGCGAGATTGCCCCTCCGCGGGCGCGCGGGCCCGGGATTCCCGGGGATGCCGCCCAAACTTTTCTCTACCCAGGCCCACTCGGGGCACGCCGCGGCCTCCGTGCCGCCCGCCTGCCTCACCTCACATTCGCGGCTTAGCTTCCTGAAGAACTCCTCGTTCTCGAACTTGCTTCTCTGGTCGGGCACGACGCGCGGCATCTTCCCGCCCTGAGGTCTCGCCAGCCGGCCGGGGTAGGGGCTTCCGCGGGCAACCGGCTGGCCGGCTCCGCGCTGACCGACTGACCGCCCACCCGCGGCGCCCTGACTCTCGCGTCCCTTTGTTTCAGGAGCCCGCCCGCGTGGGCTCCCGCTCCGGGGAGACTGAGGTGTAGCCGCCCGCTCAAGCCCAGCCCACGCCGCTGCCGCTGAATCGCCTCAGCCGTTGCCTGCCGCCCGCGCGGACCAGCACTTGCCGCCCCCGGCCGCCGCCGCCGCCGCTGCCGCCACTTCCTCTCACCGCCCACCTCGCAACCCGCCTGCCCCGCCCCGCCCCCGTCGGCCCCACCCCTCCTCCTAGCGCTCCCGCCCGCCCCAAACTCCGGCAAACAAAACGCACCATTCACAACTCCACGACCCGCATCGCGCATGCGCTGCCCGCCCGCTTGCGGGCCCCCTGGGCTGTGCAGGCAGAGCTCCTCCTGCTCTAGTGCGGACCTCATCCTTTGGCTGGACCAGCGGCCACACGGTGTGAACCAGCTTGTGGGAATGTGCCTGTCCTCGGAGACTAGGAACGGCCCACGTGGGTCCTTTAGACTGTCTAGAACTTTTGGGTTCCCCAGTTTCCGCAATAACCCCAAATTGTCACCTGAACTCCGGAAACTTCAGTCTTGAGATCTTTGCATCCCAAAACCGGCTGAGGGAGGTGTAGGCTGTACACATCAAGACTAAAGGTGAAAACAGACCAAATAATCCAACTGAATCATCATGGTGGAAAGGTCAGAGCTGTGGATTCAGACAGGCCTTAGTTGGGATGCCTGCTGTCCGGGGCCTTGGACAAACACTGGATCGCTGGGCCTCATCTTGCTTATTTCCAGAATGCAGACATTCAAGTTCGCAGTGTTAGCGTGAGAGCCTTTATGTAGGTTTCACATATAATGAGCACTAAATAAATTTAAGTTTTAAAGAACAAGCTCTATTATGTGTATAATCTAATGCCATTTCATATGTTCACCCAAATGTGTAATCAGATCCTAAAAAACAAGATCCACAAGTTTTAGGGAAGTCATTTAGCCCAAGCAGGAGAGAGTCTGACATGGGATTTATGGCAGAGCTTGACTCAAAGATGTTCCTCAATAAATTCTGATTCTTAAAATTCCAGCTCGTCAAAAACTCAGTCCAAGGATGGCAAATAGGTGTCAACTAGATTGATGGTAGCTGGCCATTATTGCAAAGTATCGTAAGGATACACTTAAACTCACAGGAATTAGTAACAAGGGCAAATGGCAATGTCTGCCTGAATGTAAGGTTTGGCAGAATTTTCCACCCTTGTGTAGTCCAATCTTGTTTTAACTTACATGGAACTGAGCTAGGGTGACTGACTGTCCTGGTATTCCAGAGATGGTTCTGATTTCAGCAATGAAAGTCCTGTGTCCCAGGAAACCACTCAGTCCCAGGCAAACTGGGATGGTTGGTCACCCTAACTGAGATCCAGAGAATGATTCATTGCCCAAAGTCAGGGAGGGAGTTTTCAGCAAAGTCAAACCTGTAGGCTCGTGGCACTAACAAACGTACTCTTTCTGAATAGCAAACTGAATCAACTTCTTCCAAGGGCATGTTCCCCTGGCCCACATTGGGCCTATGTGAATGCATGTGTGTACACAAATAGAAAGGGTATAGATATGGATGTCCAATCCGAATCTTCCCCTCAGTTCTCTTTCAACTGCAAGTGACACAAACCCAACTCAGGCAAACTTAAAGCTGAAAAGGGGTCCATTTTATTTTAATAAACACTTCAAAGACATGGACAGATCATCTTTTTTTCTTTTCTGTTTCTCCACTTTTTTCTCACTGCTTAATTCTCTCAGGCTCTCTTTGCTGGCATTCATTTTCTGGCAAAGGCTGGGAGCAGCCACTTCTCCATCTTCAGGTCATAAAATTCTCAGGAAAGACTTTGATTGGCCCATCTGGGTCTCATACTCTCCCCTCTACCAAATCACCATGTCTAGGCTGATATGATGATATTGGCCAGCTTAATGTCACATGCTCTCCCATCAGGGGTTGGGGACCTGGGATTGGCAGCCCAGAGAGAACCTGATGGTTGAAAGGAGGAAAGAGAGGTTTTCCCAAAAGGAGGGAGTGGGAGTGCATTGTGGGCCCACTTAACAGTTTGTATCGTATCAGCTACATCCGGCAAAGGATGCCATTTTTCTTTTACTACCTAAAGGTTCGGGTGAAACTGAAGGGAGAAATGCCACACCTGCATGGGGAAAATGCAGACCAAACCATCCTTAAAACATCTGCAACTTATGTTGAGAGGTGAGTGAGGCAGCTTCTGCCCCAAAGCACCAAGGCAGAACTAAGTCACTCACAATGAATAGACATGTTCATCCATCTGCTCCTCTACCTCAAATCTTCCTAATCCAGCTAAGGCCTTTGAGGACTAGGACAACACAGCCCTTGTCTAAATGAGAAGATGGTGACTTTGTTTCCAGTCAACAAGGACTGTCTGAAGGCCAACAGTCAGGGAATCAGAGTTTCTGCTGTTGGCCTCTGTGGTAGGAAAAAAGGGTATCCCATGTGATACTATTTAGCAGCATCATATCCTGTTTGGGTAGACATTTGTACAAAATTTCCCATTTTTGTCTCAAAAACGATCCACAAGGCAGTGTTCTTACTCCACAAAAGGTCCAGGTAGGGCTCACAGACCAGCAGCTGATCTTGGTCTTTGGACTCTAGCAATGGGAGATGTGGAAAAAAATTAAAGTTGAAATATGATACCCAGACAGACACCATGAACTCTGAAAAGGAAAGGGTCAGGTTCAAAACAAATCACTTCTAGGTTCTCTGGAGCTGGCTGAGGAGTGGGAGTGCAGAGCAGAGTGGAGTACTCTAATTGTCAGCCTAATGGGGGGCGGAGGTGGGGTGGGAGTGGGGGGAATGATGCTCTGGGGGAAAGGGATGTGAAAGACTGCTGGCAGACCCAAAGCAGCAGCACCACAGACAGCCTTGGGCAACCCCAGCCCACAGGGTAACCCACACTCTGCATTGTCTGGCGTCCAACAGGCCAGGAAGACCGGAAATAAGTTGAAGGCTGTAGGAGGCCATCTCCTCAGCTGACCTCTGTGTGCCTTTTCTGTTAAAATTTTTTCATTTGTTTTTTAATGGGATTTAAAAAATTAATAAAGGAAAATTTCACCCGTGTCAGGTATATTTAGACCTTTGCTTCTGTCCAGCTGGGTATGGATTGGTCCAGGCACCACCACCCTATGGAGGGGTTTGCTAAGAGCTGGCTCTGGTAGGGCCCACAAATGGAAGCCTGAGTGCATCTGTTCATTGCCTAGAAACACCCTCCCTACCCCCAAAACCTGGCTGAATTATCTGAAGCCCTACTACCTGGAGCCTTTCTTTCCTAAGAATTCAGCCAGCCCGGGGCTTCCACTTCCTTGCCTTTCTGGGCGGACAGCTGCTTCTGCAGGACGCCCAGACTGACTTTGAATGCACAATAACACTTGTGGGGGGAGCGGATGGGACCCCCAGCTGTCCAGCCCAACTCTCTGGTGAAGCTAAGGGAGTTTTTTATGCCCCTTAACTCAGTTAATTCACCGACCACCTTCTGAGACAGGTCTTCTCATCCCCCTCTGAAAGATGAGGAAATAGAAACTCTGAAAAAGTAACTAAGTAGCCATAGGATAGTGGCAAGACCTGACCCATTAGAGGTAACAAAATAGCTAAACGTTGGGGTATATCACCTTCATTCACTCCTCACCATAACTCTGCAAATTTGGTATTATTCACTTTGTTGAATGGATGAGGAAACTGAGGATCAGAGGGGATGGTGATCCCAGGGTCATGATCTTAACCATTCCACTCTAAGGCCTCTGTTGGTGGAGATGCCAAAAGTCCTGCTTGTCTAACGAAACCAGGAGCTCAGGGAGAGTTGTGACTGGGGTCATTCCTCCTGGAGCTTACCATGCTCCTAAAGGTACCCAGCAAATCAAATGAAAGGGTCCTATTGTGGGTCTTGTGATAGGATGTGTCTTTTGACCTTGATGATTGTGCATTCCTGCCCCTGAGCCCAAATGTTTGTTCTTCTCTGGCTTAGAAGGTCAAGACATCCTGCCTCACCAAATCCGACAGAATGGATGGCTTTATCCAGATCTGGTGTCAGCAGCCATCCATATCTGCCTCTCCTTGCAGAGGGGGTGAAGTCCTCCCAGGTCCCTGAGTCTCTTGTGCATTTTTTTCTAAGGAAACAGTTTCCTTTCAGTTACTGAGGAAAGAGTGTACCATTTTGAAGCTGAAATAGGATCTGGAGCCACAAATGAGAGTTGAAGGGGGTGGGAAGGAAAGGAAATTAGTGGCTGGCACAGTGCCTAAAGCCCAGCTCTACCCAACTTCCAGTGTTTGGATAGAAACAGGCCTAAGTCCAGGATGAGGGTGTCATCTGCCTAAATGATGCAGTTTCCTGAGCCCTAAAAAATTCTTGAGATATAATTTACATATCATAAAATTCACCCTGAGGTACTTAAGAACCAGGAGGTTCTCCCTCTTTTTTACTCCCATGCCACCCTCCCCCACCAGCTCAGCCATCCCAGAGGGAGAGGAAAGCTGAGAGGAGCAAGTTTCCCCAGAATAGCATTTCTTCAGTGTTGGGATCAATAAACCCGTTTGCTTAAAAGGAACCAGATGATTTCATCCTTGTAATTACAAGTTTGACGTTTGCAAATCTTGCCCAGGCTCCAAATAAGCCTGTTGTCATGGGAGATGGAGGGGTTTGTCTGGGTGCCTGGGGATGGGAACCTAGCCTGGTGAGCTGGGAAGAGGGCCAGGCTGGGGTCAGGAGGCCTGGCTGACCATCTTCAAGGGAAGCTTGGGACTTCTCCCCTTCCACTCCCCTACTCTTCAAGTTTCTGGTGGGTGATGGAAAACAGACTAGACAAGGGGACCAGAGAATGGTAGTGGTGAACTCTAACCACACGGTCCTCCTTGCTAAGCCCCCTCCCTCAGGTCACTGATTTGCCTATGGCAGAAAAGCCTTAAGCCCAGCACTCATGACTCCCTGACAATCATTACTTTCCTTTCCAGTCCCATCTCTCATCATTTCTCCCCATGGCACCCTGCAATCTAACCACACTGGCCTGCTTGCATTTCCCACATGGATCAGTGCCTTTGCTCTTACTGTTCCCTCTATCTAGCATGACTTCCTTCCCTTTCATTCCTAGGAAAACTCATACTTTTTCTTTATGATTTCAGGAGTCTTTGATCACCCTCCACAGAATGATTGCTCCACAGAGTCTATCATCTGGGTTCA